AAGAAAACAGTCCTTGTATATATACTGGTTGAGGGTGGGAGGAGCCAAGGTAGGCCCTGGATATTATTATTATTGTGAGGTTCGGTGCGGCTGAAGCACGCTGTTAGGAATGAGCCTTTGTTGTGTAGACTGGTTGAACTCGGAGGTTCCAAGAGTTGTTAAGGTGCGGCTGATGTAAAGGTGCGTGTAAATGGGACTGAGCCTTTTGTTATGTAGAGGTGGTGCGGCTGAAACCGCTGCCAGGAATGAGTCTTTGTTGTGTAGACTGGTTGAACTGGGAGGTTCTAAGAGTTGTTAAGGTGCGGCTGATGTAAAGGTGCGGCTGCTGTGAATGGGACTGAGCCTTTGTTATGTAGATGAAACAGCACTTTGCTACGTTGCTGGGATTAATTCTAGATTTGCCAAATATGTGTGGTAAAACTTAAAGTAAGAAAACCAGTGTGTGAAAAAAGAAGAAGAAACTATACGGTAACTGAAGAATAGTGCCTGTCAAATAAGATGGTCCAAATATGTGTAGTTAAATCTTTTTGCATGGTTAATAACATCTTTCCAATGATTACTAAGTTTGTACCCATCATCACGGTTGAAATTATGTCTGTGTTTGTATATTTGGATGGCTTCGTGTACAAACCTTTGATGGTAGCCAGGAGGTTTGCAGAGCACATTGGTCTCGGAAAAGACAATTTCATGAGAGCCCACAGCGTTGTAGCAATGATCGGCAACGGCGGAAGAATCAGTTTTGCCGTTTTTCAGATCTGACTTGTGCTCGCGGACACGATCAGAGATATGACGTTTCGTTTCTCCAATGTAGCAATCACCACAACTGCAACTCAGTTTGTAGACTCCAGGGTATTGTAAGTCAGGAATGACATCTTTCACAGATGGAATTAGATCACGGATTTTATGTACTGTACTGAATCGGACTTGGATCTTATGTTTGTTTAGAATTTTGGAGATCTTTTTGGTCACGCCTGCTATGTATGGCAACGTGATAGTTTTGATCGGAGTTTCATGTGGCTGTTTCTGTATGGTGGGAGAAACAGCTTGGCGGATGGTGCGGTCAGAGTATCCGTTCATCCTGAGGGCCCGATGTACATGCTCAGCCTTTGTTATGCAGTCTATTCTTAGTCTTAAGCCTCACCTTACCATATGAATAAAAAGTGTGCTTTACTTGGCCCTTTCCCCCCCCCTCTCCAACCATTATATAAACGGAGTGGTAGCTCCTGCAATCTCTCATTTACTTGATACAGCTGTCGTGGCTGTGACGGTTCCACCTGAAGACGGAAGCTTGTGTTGCCTCCGAAACGTCGTGATTTTTATTTTATTTTACTTTTATTAATTTAATGTTTTACCTACGTGACTTTACCGAAACAAACCTAAGAATAGGTAAGGTGAAGTTCAATGTTCATTTATTCTATTAATTATAACTGTGTTTTTAGTTTTGTGTATGCTTTTATGTACTGTACTGTATTTTCATATTGTAAACTTTGTGAAAAATGGCCCATGTTAGGAGCATCCTTGAGTGGGGAACCAATTAATGCTATTTCCATTCATTCTTATGGGGAAAATTATGTCGGTGTTCGAACCAATCGGTGTTCGAACACGGTTTTGGAACGAATTAAGTTCGATCTCTGAGGTACCACTGTATATTCCTGGGTGATTATAGTAGTATGACATTCAAAACAGACATTTTCACTTCCCTCTCCGAACGTACTTCTGTGTAAAAAATGAATCATTCAGAGACATTAGTAAAATACAGGTGAAGGTTAACGCTCGAGTAGATGTTGCGATGTCGCTAGACCTGTTGCCTTGAAAGGCATCTCTTGGCTAGAATACATGAGCTTACTGGTTAGCTTAGCCCAGGCATGTCCAAAGTCCGGCCCGCGAGCCAATCACGGCCCACGGTCCAATCACGGCCCATGGTCAGATTTCATACGGCCCGCAGCTTTGGTCCTATAATGTGTTATTTATGGCTCGCTAGCTCTGTCAGAATAAATAATCATAACTTTAAAGATGTAATTCCTCCTTTCACCACACGGTGGCAGCACCATTCTAATGCTATCTGGCTCTGCATCCGTGCCGCGAATCCTTCTCGAATCAAAAAAAAAGTTGACAGTGAGGGCCGCCGCTTTAATGGTAGCTGGACAAAAGCAGGTTTCCAGAAATGCGGTCATTCGCTAAGAAAATGCTGAGCTTATTCGGCTCCACATATTTGTGTGAGCAAACATTCTCAGTCATGAACTTAAACAAGAACCGATTGAGGTCAAGGATGAGTGACTCCCACTTGCGTGACATTTTACGCATCTCAACCACTGCCCTGAAGCCAGACCTGGTCTCTTTACTGAAATCTAGATCTCAGTATCACCCTTCTCATTAGTGTCAGCAAGTTATCTGTTCCTTGATCAATCTGAAATTGAGTGTTTTGAACGGTAACATCTTTCAATATTAACAGTGAAAAGCCTAAAGCACACTAATGCACTTGGACTTATGGCACTTGTTTTATTAAACTCTTGAATATGATTTGGTTATAACTATTGATGTTATGTACCTGTAGATGTGACACAAACTATTGCTGTCTGAAAGATCTTGTAAAAGACAAGGGCAAAATTCACTTGTTTTAAAGTTAATGATAACAGACCACTTTACATACTTATAACTCCTGTTTAAACTGTTCATGAGGCACAGATATTTAACTCATGGAAATTTAAGGTATTCTATACAGTTTGTTCAATGTTACCTGACTGAATGAAAGGCAGAATTGTGTTTTTAGAGTTGTTCACATCTGCCTGAGTGGCTTATATTTGGTTACATTGTCATTTGAAAAATAAAGGTAATTGTGACAATGAAAATAGTTTTATAACAGTGTGTATTTTAAAGTAACTTGTGGTTTAAAAACATGTCAGAAGGAACTATTGGCCCCCGGGCATCTTCACTTTATCAAATGTGGCCCTCTTTGCAAAAAGTTTGGACACCCCTGGCTTAGCCCATTGCTTCTTAAAACTTTATTTTAACCTTGTACCCATTTGCTTCTCAATTGTACAAAAAATATATGTATAATGTAAAAAAAAACATAGGTTTTATAAAAGAAAGTAGTTGTACATACGCGTCCGTGCTTAATGGTTTACCTTAAAAAAAATCTGGCATGTCTCGCACCCTGAAGGGGTGCGTCCACCCCAGGTTAAGAACAACTGGCTTAGCCGGAGCCATGACACGCACCGATGTCCCTGCAGTAACACCATTATTAGAATGCTGTAGCTTACAACATTTTATAATAATAATGTATTATTATTTAACCAAAGTTCCCATGCAGTACATATCCCGACCCCATAACAAGTATTTTATATAACTACTCGACAAAGAAATGCTTCCACAAGAAATATGATGTTCAACAATTCAGTTTAGAAAATATAGTACACACGATGAATGAGAATACACAAAATTGAAACTGCATTTTTTCCCACTATATTGAGTTGTGCACACACTATCTGAACATTATATATCTATATATAAAAGGGAAATTTGTGATTATGTGTGTCTGTTCAAAATGTTTAGCGTACTTCCCGACATGCAACAAACTTGAAATTTGCCATGTGGGTTCTTTCCAGACTGTACACCATGCAAAAACAAAAAAACGACTTTGTATATTTTGGGGGGGGGCGGGGCGCAATAATGAATATTTTTGCACGGCAAGTGAGCTGTGACGTCACATCTGTTATGTCACCCGCGCATGCGCAAGCATCCGCAGTGTGCCTGCTGATGTCACGACCCCCCCCCCCAACCGTCCGGGGTAAAGTGAAATACAAATGTGTTGCAGGTCTAAGGCGTTCTTCGCGCAGCATTGCTTTATTATTTCAGTCGTTTACTGCCGTACGCACCCTGAAAGTTGTGTGTCTGCAGCAAGCGCGTCTATGTGTACCTATGGACGCGCGCGTGTGTGTGGGGGGAGCGGTATGTAGTGGTTAGCATGCTGCGCTACGAACCCGGCGACCGAGTTCGATTCCCGCTCACGGCCACCACCGGTGACGATTATTTCAACCGGTCCTGGGCCTCCCCTAGGTCGACTCAGCCTCAACGAGTAACTGGTGGTGGGTGTGTGAACATCGCCACTGGGGAGGCAAAGGCGGCCGGGCGTGGTGAATCCAAGTCCCAGGCGAATCCGGATAGTAAAGCTAGTAGGTTATAAAGGTTTGAGATGGGGACAACCCAAGGGTAAGTAGGCGGGGCTAGAGATGGAATTTGCAAGTAAATGTAAGATCGCATAGCTAGGTATACCTCGGCCATTGTATATCTCGAGATTAGCATGCCAATCTGTTAATGTAACTCCACGGTTACGGTGCTGAAGAAGACATTGTATTACCCAAGTAAATTGAAAGTAACTTATCAAGTTGGACACGTACTTTATTGACCTTAACTTAGGTAAAGATGCAGGCAGTACGAATACATGCTTTGTAAATCCATTTAGGAAAATTGCAGAATAGACTGGTATTTTGTGCAGGATAAGTAGTGTGTGTTATTGTGTACATGGTTGGTATAGTTGATGTTCACATCAAAACCGTCTTTAAAAAAACACTCTACATTTCACTTCTTCAAAAATGTGTGGTTACAAACTACAAATGTTATATGGGTCGATTATAAATATGATTATGGAAGTTGATGCCCTTTTACGACCACGTTCACCTTTGGGAATCGTTCCTTCAGGGATACTTTGTAACTGTAAAGGTGAAGAAATGATAAAATGCAATTAATAGAATGTTCAGGATATTACTGTAAATTTCATGTAAAAATGTTGGCCATTACAAAAAAATGAAAAAGATTGCATCTCACCTCATTTTCTAGTGCAATGTCAGTTGGCCATGATTCATAAGTAATCTTTACTCTTAAATTATACTTTGCTGTAAGACATGAATTACAAAAAGGCGTTAACATAATATCTATTTTAAAAAGCCGGTACAATGTAAAATAGATTTTATGAGACAGATGGATATTTTGTACTGGCCTACCTGGTCTGCATAAAAACGAAGCTTCATCCGAGCCGTCGACACAGTCAATGTCACCATCGCAAACGAGAAAAAGCGGCACGCATCCACTGCTTTTGCAAAGGAACTCCCCGTCAATACAGGCTGCAAGGCACATAACACCACACTCTGAGTAAAATTGAAATCAAGGTTTGGTCACTGGTGTAGTTATTACAGGTTTTATAACTTTATTTTTTGCAAATATTATGGGTCATTCAAAATGTGTAGTGACATCGGGGATGTCACTGTATGGTGCCGGCCCAGAGGGCCCTGGCGTGTGATGCACTGTCATCGCGTACACCCCGTAGGCAGGTGTAGTACCAGCCCTAGTGGGGCTTGATGTGCGCTGGGATAGCGCAGGCACCACGCATAGCGTGTAGTGCGGGCTCCCACAAGGGGGAGTGGGAGAGTGTCAGCCCAGGGGCAGGGTTGCCCCGGGCCATGGCACTCTGGTTGACCCCGTAGACACGTGATCCGGAGTGTCCACAGAGAGGCCCCCAGGTGGGGGGCTAGGGGGCGATCACGTGTCCGGGGAGAGCTCTCGAGAGGGATCGAGAGAGAGCTGGAACGCTCGAGAAGGCGGGCGGGGCCAAGGGCGGAGCAGCCCCGACCCAGGGGGATATAAGGTGGGTCGCTGCATTCTACAAGCTGAAGCTCTACATCCTACAAGCTGGAAGCTCTACAGGCATCAACACGTGGTCGGGACCCGAGTGAGGGTCAGATCCTTCGTAGCTGTAACTCCTCCGTATAGGGTAGTTAGCTGGGTGGCCACCACCCTAGGCTGTATCTGGTGAAGGGGCAGTTACCCCTTTGTGTTACGTGTTGATGTTACAAATAAATGTGTTGCCTCTAAAGAACAACGTCTGCGACTCAGTTGGACTCACTACAAATGTATACTTTAAACAAAACGAAACTCACTACAATTGCTTTCATCTGAAAAGTCCCCACAGTCGTTGATGCCATCACAGAAGCTCTCTTTCCCCAGGCAGGTCCCATCACCACAAGGCAGCTGCTGGTCTGTGCGGCACTGGCATTTGGGAGTTTCGTCACTCTGGTCTGCACAATCAGGCTGGCCATTGCAGAAAAAATGCCCAGGGATGCATTGCATCTTGGTAGCACAGCGAAACTCACTCGCTGCACAAGCTGGTTTGTCACAAACAAAATACAATTAGACTTTGTGTTAAGAAATATTGATATTTGTTGCCACACTTGCACAATCATACAATGCATATAATCTGAATTCGCAACCACACCACAGCACAAATGTTTAAAATATAAATTTTAGTTAAAATCAGATACAGTTCTCAGCGGAAAACATACCAATCTCACACTTGCTTTTCATCGGAACCATCGCTGCAGTCAACTACCCCATCACAAACGTAGATTGTATCCAAACATTCCGTTGCACTATTATTGCATTTGTGCTGGTTTGGAGTACAAGCTGTTAAAAAATTCAACCGATTACACCGAATTCATTAACGATAGCCACATTCATTTAGTCAAATGGTTCAATCAAAATGTATATACTCTTTGGTTCTTTCGGTAAAGTCACGTAAGTAGAAAAATAATAGATCACGACGTTTAAATCGCAATACAAGCAATCGTCATCAGGTGGGACAACCACAGCAAGAAAAAACTGCTGAAGTAGGCGAGAGATCTGCCGTGACACGAGGTTATTTAGGCCTCGGCAGTAGGGGGGGACAGAGAAGGGCGGGGTGGAAGGAAGCGGGGCAGCAAGTGGACCCCGCCGCAGCACCCGGGTCACTGGAGTAAAGTGGACTACAGCGGCAGCACTGGAGAGATCAGCTGGAGGGGAGGGGGGAACTTTCTGCACCAGCCTGCTTCCCCCCCACCCCCCCAGATCTTTCGCCTACTTCAGCAGTTTTTTTCTTGCTGTGGTTGTTCAACCTGATGACGATTGCTTGCGTTGCGATCGAAACGTCATGATCTACTATTTTTCAACCTACGTGACTTTACCAAAAGAACAAAAGAGTATGGATTCCTGCAGTCACGAAAGCTTCATATCAAGATCAAATGTATATTTTAAACAAAACAAAACTCACTGCAGTTGCTTTCATCAGTAAAATCCCCACAGTCATTGACTCCATCACACAGGTACGCTATTCCCAGGCAGCTCCCATTGCCACAACGTATTTGGTCTGCGCTGCATGCACAGTTTGGGGTCTCATCGCTCTGGTCTGCACAGTCAGTCACCCCATCACAGTACAGGCTTCCACGAATGCAGTGCTTCTTATCAGCACAGCGGAACTCACTTGTGGCGCATTCTGGTGCGACACAAATAAAAGATGTAGATTGTTAATTCATTGAACAATTCTTGGATCGTTTCTACTTCTTCATGCGTGACGTAGTTTGCATTCTGATCAAGTAACAGCTACCAGATTTCGAAAGGACGAATTGGCATCATCACTGTACTCTGTCTTGATTTATTTAGATCATCCATGGATGGGGTAGCACATCATAATTGTTGTCTTAGTAAAACCTCGTGTTTTGCATGGAGACCTAACATCCGGGTTAGGACTTGTACGTGTATTTTGAAAACCCGCCAATTGATTTTACAGTGGTATGTTAAAGTAACACATGAGAACAAATTACATTTCTAAACTCGCACGTGACTTTTGTGCACACAGTGGAGACGTCGTGAACAAGCATCACTTTGCGGGTTGTTCACATTTCGATGTGCAGCAGTGCAATTTCCAGTTTTTTTCCAATTTAAGGAGTTCCCTTGAACACTTTCGTATGTGTGAGACAGTATATCTGCTATTTTTTCAAGAACATGCTGCATTTAAATATTGAAACTCATTGAAGATTTTAAAACATACCTCTTTCACAGTCGCTTTCATCAGATCCGGCACTACAATCAGCTTCTCCATCACAAACGTAGATCCATTCCAAGCATTCATTGTTGCTGTTGTTGCATGAAAACTGGTTTGCAGTACAGCCTTGAACAAAATAGGAAAAAAATATCCATGAAAAGGTTATTTAGAATATTCATTTGAAAAAAGTACTATGAATCATTAATAAGTGAATTCAATTAATAAGGGAACTTACTGCAGTTGCTTTCATCAGTAAAATCCCCACAGTCATTGACTCCATCACACAGGTACGCGATTCCCAGGCAGCTGCCATTGCCACAACGTATTTGGTCTGAGCGGCATACACAGTCTGGGGTCTCATCGCTCTGGTCTGCACAGTCAGTCACCCCATCACAGTACAGGCTTCCACGAATGCAGTGCTTATCATGACAGCGGAACTCACTTGGGGCGCATTCTGGTGTCACACAAATAAAAGATGTAGATTGTTAATTCATTGAACAATTCTTGATTCGTTTCTGCTTCCTCATGCGTGACGTAGTTTGCATTCTCATCAAGTAACAGCTACCAGATTTGGAAATGCCAAATTGGCATCATCACTGTATTCCGTCTTGATTTAATTAGATCATCCATGTGTGGCACATTAGGAAGGGACCACTCTTTTAATTATTTCCTTGTGCAGCAAGGGAGTAAAGTGTGGTTCTGTGAAAGTCCTGATGTGCTGTGCAGTGAATCAAGGCATGTGTGTACAGCAGCATGTGATGACGGAGTTGGGCCTGTAGGTGGCTGGCAGCGTTAATGATTAACTGGACTTGGACACCAGTCACATGGTTAATGGCGACTCGGAAGAATTGCTGTGTGTGACACACGTGTTGGTGCATTTACAAAGTGACGGTGCTGTTCTTCACAAGATTGCTATTAACCACAATACATGTGTCTGCCCTCGACTTGGAGCACTGCCCACGTCCTTCATTTCGAGTGTGCAACACATGGATGGGGTAGCACATCATAATTGTTGTGTTAGTGTAATAAACGACTCTGTCAGGCTCTCTTGGTCTCCGTTGTCGTTTATTTAAGTTCTTCGTATGCACCCCGCTGGTCCTCGGCCGGACCCGCGCCGCCTCCGCTCTCTCCGTGTGCCCGCACACGCCGCCAGCCACACCGCTCGCTCCGTGTGCCCCGCACACTCCGCTAGTCACTCACTAGCCACGTGTGCCCCGCACACTCTGCTAGCCCCTCACACACCGCTAGCCCCGTCTACCCACGCACACCGCTGGCCGACGGTGTACGTCGGTCTTCGACCACGTGGCAGATGGCGCCGCTCCTCCCGCACTGCCCAGCGTGGCTTCCCCTATTCTTGCTCCGTTCCGACTCCTCGATCTCTTCCGGCTCTCTCCCTATATCCTTCCCATCACGTAACCCTGACGCCTCCTTCCCGTACTGCCCCCGTCTCCGCCACCCGTTCACCTCGTCTCCCATTGGAGCCGAGGTGAGCAGTGGCTCCTCCCACACGCTCCGCCGACAAGGCTCCGCCCCCCAATGCTCCGGGCCGTGTGATTGGCGCGGAGGTCAGCAACCACCCCATTTATGCTCGCATTACATTAGCAAAACCTCGTGTTTTACATGGAGACCAAACATCCGGGTTAAAACTTGTACGTGTATTTTGAAGGCCCGACAATTGATATTACAGTGGTATGTTAAACTAACACATTAGAAACAAATAACATTTGTAAACTTGCGGACTGGCACGTGGCGTTTGTGCACACAGTGGAGACGTCGTGAACAAGCATCACTTTGCGGGCTGTTCACATTTCGAGGCGCAGCAGTGCAATTTCCAATGTTTTGTCCAATTTAAGGAGTTTCCTTGAACACTTCCGAATGTGTGAGACAGTTTATCTGCAATTTTTCAAGAAAAGCTGTATTGAAATATTGAAACTCATTGAAGATTTTCAAACACACCTTTTTCACAGTCGCTTTCATCAGATCCGCCAATACAGTCAGCTTCTCCATCACAAACGTAGATCCACTGCAAACATTCATTGTTGCTGTTGTTGCATGAAAACTGGTTTGCAGTACAGCCTTGAACAAAATAGGAAAAAAATATCCATGAAAAGGTTATTTAGAATATTCATTTGAAAAAATACTATGAATCATTAATAAGTGAATTCAATTCATAATGGAACTTACTGCAGTTGCTTTCATCAGTAAAATCCCCACAGTCATTGACTCCATCACACAGGTACGCGATTCCCAGGCAGCTCCCATTGCCACAACGTATTTGGTCTGAGTGGCATACACAGTCTGGGGTCTCATCGCTCTGGTCTGCACAGTCAATCACCCCATCACAGTACAGGCTTCCACGAATGCAGTGCTTCTTATCAGCACAGCGGAACTCACTTGGGGCGCATTCTGGTGTCACACAAATAAAAGATGTAGATTGTTAATTCATTGAACAATTCTTGGATCGTTTCTACTTCTTCATGCGTGACGTAGTTTGCATTCTCATCAAGTAATAGCTACCAGATTTGGAAAGGACTAATTGGCATCATCACTACCAGATTTGTAAAGGACTAATTGGCATCATCACTGTACTCTGTCTTGATTTATTTAGATCATCCTTGGATAGGGTGGCACATCAAATGTGTTGTCTTAGCAAAACCTCGTGTTTTGCATGGAGACCAAACATCCGGGAAAGAACTTGTACGTGTATTTTGAAGGCCCCACAATTGATATTACACTGGTATGTTAAAGTAACACATTAGTACAAATAACATTTGTAAACTTGCGGACTGGCACGTGGCTTTTGTGCACACAGTGGAGACGTCGTGAACAAGCATCACTTTGCGGGCTGTTCACATTTCGAGGCGCAGCAGTGCAATTTCCAATGTTTTGTCCAATTTAAGGAGTTTCCTTGAACACTTCCGAATGTGTGAGACAGTCTATCTGCAATTTTTTCAAGAAAAAGCTGTATTGAAATATTGAAACTCATTGAAGATTTTCAAACACACCTTTTTCACAGTCGCTTTCATCAGATCCGCCAATACAGTCAGCTTCTCCATCACAAACGTAGATCCACTGCAAACATTCATTGTTGCTGTTGTTGCATGAAAACTGGTTTGCAGTACAGCCTTGAACAAAATAGGAAAAAAATATCCATGAAAAGGTTATTTAGAATATTCATTTGACAAAATACTATGAATCATTAATAAGTGAATTCAATTCATAATGGAACTTACTGCAGTTGCTTTCATCAGTAAAATCCCCACAGTCATTGACTCCATCACACAGGTACGCGATTCCCAGGCAGCTCCCATTGCCACAACGTATTTGGTCTGAGTGGCATACACAGTCTGGGGTCTCATCGCTCTGGTCTGCACAGTCAGTCACCCCATCACAGTACAGGCTTCCACGAATGCAATGCTTCTTATCAGCACAGCGGAACTCACTTGGGGCGCATTCTGGTGTCACACAAATAAAAGATGTAGATTGTTAATTCATTGAACAATTCTTGGATCGTTTCTACTTCTTCATGCGTGACGTAGTTTGCATTCTCATCAAGTAATAGCTACCAGATTTGGAAAGGACTAATTGGCATCATCACTACCAGATTTGTAAAGGACTAATTGGCATCATCACTGTACTCTGTCTTGATTTATTTAGATCATCCTTGGATAGGGTGGCACATCAAATGTGTTGTCTTAGCAAAACCTCGTGTTTTGCATGGAGACCAAACATCCGGGAAAGAACTTGTACGTGTATTTTGAAGGCCCCACAATTGATATTACACTGGTATGTTAAAGTAACACATTAGTACAAATAACATTTGTAAACTTGCGGACTGGCACGTGGCTTTTGTGCACACAGTGGAGACGTCGTGAACAAGCATCACTTTGCGGGCTGTTCACATTTCGAGGCGCAGCAGTGCAATTTCCAATGTTTTGTCCAATTTAAGGAGTTTCCTTGAACACTTCCGAATGTGTGAGACAGTCTATCTGCAATTTTTTCAAGAAAAAGCTGTATTGAAATATTGAAACTCATTGAAGATTTTCAAACACACCTTTTTCACAGTCGCTTTCATCAGATCCGCCAATACAGTCAGCTTCTCCATCACAAACGTAGATCCACTGCAAACATTCATTGTTGCTGTTGTTGCATGAAAACTGGTTTGCAGTACAGCCTTGAACAAAATAGGAAAAAAATATCCATGAAAAGGTTATTTAGAATATTCATTTGACAAAAATACTATGAATCATTAATAAGTGAATTCAATTCATAATGGAACTTACTGCAGTTGCTTTCATCAGTAAAATCCCCACAGTCATTGACTCCATCACACAGGTACGCGATTCCCAGGCAGCTCCCATTGCCACAACGTATTTGGTCTGAGTGGCATACACAGTCTGGGGTCTCATCGCTCTGGTCTGCACAGTCAGTCACCCCATCACAGTACAGGCTTCCACGAATGCAGTGCTTCTTATCAGCACAGCGGAACTCACTTGGGGCGCATTCTGGTGTCACACAAATAAAAGATGTAGATTGTTAATTCATTGAACAATTCTTGGATCGTTTCTACTTCTTCATGCGTGACGTAGTTTGCATTCTCATCAAGTAATAGCTACCAGATTTGGAAAGGACTAATTGGCATCATCACTACCAGATTTGTAAAGGACTAATTGGCATCATCACTGTACTCTGTCTTGATTTATTTAGATCATCCTTGGATAGGGTGGCACATCAAATGTGTTGTCTTAGCAAAACCTCGTGTTTTGCATGGAGACCAAACATCCGGGAAAGAACTTGTACGTGTATTTTGAAGGCCCCACAATTGATATTACACTGGTATGTTAAAGTAACACATTAGTACAAATAACATTTGTAAACTTGCGGACTGGCACGTGGCTTTTGTGCACACAGTGGAGACGTCGTGAACAAGCATCACTTTGCGGGCTGTTCACATTTCGAGGCGCAGCAGTGCAATTTCCAATGTTTTGTCCAATTTAAGGAGTTTCCTTGAACACTTCCGAATGTGTGAGACAGTCTATCTGCAATTTTTTCAAGAAAAAGCTGTATTGAAATATTGAAACTCATTGAAGATTTTCAAACACACCTTTTTCACAGTCGCTTTCATCAGATCCGCCAATACAGTCAGCTTCTCCATCACAAACGTAGATCCACTGCAAACATTCATTGTTGCTGTTGTTGCATGAAAACTGGTTTGCAGTACAGCCTTGAACAAAATAGGAAAAAAATATCCATGAAAAGGTTATTTAGAATATTCATTTGAAAAAATACTATGAATCATTAATAAGTGAATTCAATTCATAATGGAACTTACTGCAGTTGCTTTCATCAGTAAAATCCCCACAGTCATTGACTCCATCACACAGGTACGCGATTCCCAGGCAGCTCCCATTGCCACAACGTATTTGGTCTGAGCGGCATACACAGTCTGGGGTCTCATCGCTCTGGTCTGCACAGTCAGTCACCCCATCACAGTACAGGCTTCCACGAATGCAGTGCTTCTTATCAGCACAGCGGAACTCACTTGGGGCGCATTCTGGTGTCACACAAATAAAAGATGTAGATTGTTAATTCATTGAACAATTCTTGGATCGTTTCTACTTCTTCATGCGTGACGTAGTTTGCATTCTCATCAAGTAATAGCTACCAGATTTGGAAAGGACTAATTGGCATCATCACTACCAGATTTGTAAAGGACTTATTGGCATCATCACTGTACTCTGTCTTGATTTATTTAGATCATCCTTGGATAGGGTGGCACATCAAATGTGTTGTCTTAGCAAAACCTCGTGTTTTGCATGGAGACCAAACATCCGGGTTAGAACTTGTACGTGTATTTTGAAGGCCCGACAATTGATATTACACTGGTATGTTAAAGTAACACATTAGTACAAATAACATTTGTAAACTTGCGGACTGGCACGTGGCTTTTGTGCACACAGTGGAGACGTCGTGAACAAGCATCACTTTGCGGGCTGTTCACATTTCGAGGCGCAGCAGTGCAATTTCCAATGTTTTGTCCAATTTAAGGAGTTTCCTTGAACACTTCCGAATGTGTGAGACAGTCTATCTGCAATTTTTTCAAGAAAAAGCTGTATTGAAATATTGAAACTCATTGAAGATTTCAAACACACCTTTTTCACAGTCGCTTTCATCAGATCCGCCAATACAGTCAGCTTCTCCATCACAAACGTAGATCCACTGCAAACATTCATTGTTGCTGTTGTTGCATGAAAACTGGTTTGCAGTACAGCCTTGAACAAAATAGGAAAAAAATATCCATGAAAAGGTTATTTAGAATATTCATTTGAAAAAATACTATGAATCATTAATAAGTGAATTCAATTCATAATGGAACTTACTGCAGTTGCTTTCATCAGTAAAATCCCCACAGTCATTGACTCCATCACACAGGTACGCGATTCCCAGGCAGCTCCCATTGCCACAACGTATTTGGT